GAGTGAACCATCGTGTCTGGCCCTTTTAACTTATGTTTTTAAGCCGGGGTCTCGTTCTGAAGCTCGGGCTACAGCGCAATGGCACAACCATGGCTCACTGCAGCCTCAAGCTTCTGGGCTCAAGCGATCCTCTCACCTCTGCTTCCCCAGTATCTGGGACTACAGGCATTCCACCATGCCTGGCTGATTGTGTGTGTCTGTGTGTGTGTAGAGACAGGATCTTGCTTATTGCCCAGGCTGGTCTCAAACGCCTAGTGTCAAGTGATCCTCCCAATTCAGTCTCCTAAAGTGCTGGGATTGCATATGTAAGCCACTGCACTGGCCCAGAACCAACACTTATTGAGCATCTGTAGTGTGGAGTTGTGATCAGTGAACCCAAACACCAATGAGACCATTCAGTGAAGTCATGTGTTGTTAAGAAATGTAGCTTAGGGCTGGCCACGGTGGCTCACGCCTATAATCCTAGCACTTTGGGAGGCCAAGGCGGGTGGATCACGAGGTCAAGAGATCAAGACCATCCTGGTGAAGGCGGTGAAACCCCATCTCTACTAAAAATACAAAAATTGCCGGGCATGGTGGCACTTGCCTGTAATCCCAGCTACTTGAGAGGCTGAGGAAGGAGAATTGCTTGAACCCAGGAGGCAGGGGTTGCAGTGAGCCGAGATCGCGCCATTGCACTCCAGCCTGGGTAACAAGAGCGAAAGTCCGTCTCAAAAAAAAGAAAAGAAAGAAATGTAGCATATGGAGCTGGGCACAGTGGCTCACACCTGTAATCCCAGCACTTTGCGAGACAGAGGCGGGCAGATCACAAGGTCAGGAGTTCGAGATCAGCCTGACCAACATGGTGAAACCTGTCTCTACTAAAAATACAAAAATTAGCGGGGCATGGTGGCATGTGCCTGTAGTACCAGCTACTCAGGAGGCTAAGGCAGGAGAATCACTTGAACCCGGGAGGCAGAGGTTGCAGTGAGCCGAGATTACGCCACTGCACTCCAACCTGGGCAACCAAGCAAGACTCCATCTCAAAAAAAAAAAAAAAAAAAAGAAATGTAGCACATAAACTACCTCCCAGTGCAGTGAAGTAAACGCCGAGGTGAGGAAGCCTGGATTCTGGACCTGGCAAGATGCAAAACCGTTACTAAGCACAAAGGAGACATACCATCTTTGCACATAGAAAGGAGAACTGGTTGAGGCCAGCCTGACCAACACGGTGAAACCCCGTCTCTACTAAAAATACAAAAATGAGCCAGGCTTGGTGGCACATGCCTGTAATCCCAGCTTCTCAGGAGGCTGAGGCAGGAGAATTGCTTGAAACTGGGAAATGGAGGTTGCAGTAAGCCATCATGCCACTGCACTGTAGCCTGGGTGACAGTGAGACTCTGTCTTAAAAAAAAAAAAAAAAAAGAAAGAAAAAAGAAAAAAAAAAAAAGCCTGTGCATGGGAAAACACTTGAAACACTTGACAAGCTGCACTCTGCAGTTGGTCTCCCCATCTGGGCTAGAAGCTACCAGGACGAAGGCACTGTACAGAACCACCTTCAGGGCCCAGCACCTATCTATGTGCCTGGCACTGGTTCTCCCAAAGCCAGAGCCAGAGACCTAAGTGTTTGTTTCATGCCAAAAGTAGGAGGGGCAAAATTTCCCCCAATTTTCCCAGGTGTGAAAAGGAACAAGTTTTTTTTTTTTTTTCCAGTTTTCTTGGACTTTTGAAACTTTTAATTTTTTAATACATGGAAAAGAATGTATATAGTACATGGTGGTTACAAAGCAATATTAATAAAATAACCACCTGGGAGCATGTAGGGCTGCCAAAAAAGAAAGGAAGAGCTCTACAGAAAGATATTTCAGGCTGGGCACAGTGGCTCACTTCTGTAATCCCAGCACTTTGGGAGGCCAAGACGGGTGGATCACGAGGTCAGCAGTTCGAGACCAGCCTGACCAACACGCTAAAACCCTGTCTTACTCCAGAATCAGTACTCTTTTGTCTTACTCCAAAACGGGTACTCTGTAATCCCAGCTACTCAGGAGGCTGAGGCTGGTGAATTGTTTGAACCTGGGAGGTAGAGGTTGCAGTGAGCCAAGATTGTGCCACTGCACTCCAGCCTGGTGACAGAGTAAGACTCTGCCTCAAAAAAAAAAAAAAAAAAAAAAAGGCAGATATTTTAAAAAGATGCAGAAACCAGCTTGAAGATGCTCCCAGTGGTCATATCAACAGCAATTCAAGCATCAAAGTGAATCCAGATTGTAAGCCAGTGTATAAAACAGCAAAGCAGAGGCAAGCGCAGTGGCTCACACCTGTAATCTGAGCACTTTGGGAGGCTGAGGAAGGAGGATCACTTGAGGTCAAGAGTTCAAGACCAGCCTGGGCAAAATGACAAGACCCCATCTCTACAAAAAATAAAAAATTAGCCTGATGTGGGGCATGTAACTGCAGTCCCAGCTACTTGGGAGGCTGAGGTGGGAGGATCTCTTGAGGCCAGGTTGAGGCTACAGTGAGCTATGATCGAACCACTGCACCCCAGCCTGGACAACAAAGCAAGACCCTGTCTCAAAAAAAAAAAAAAAGGACATTTTAAAATGAGGACTATGTAAAGCTAATTATGCTGAACTTCAAGCCTACTGCAATTTCTCTGATCAAGATGCTGTCATGTGAGGCTCAAATCAGAGACAAGGAAAAAAAAAGATGCTATCCTGATGTGTTCAGAAGAGCACAGTGAACAAGTGAAGAAATGTTGAGAAAGCAGCCTGAGAAAGAGCATAGTAGGCCAGGTGCAGGTGCTCACGCCTGTAATTCCAGCACTTTGGGAGGCTGAGGCGGGTGGATCATGAAGTCAGGGGTTCGAGACCAGCCTTGCCAACATGACAAAACCCCATCTCTACTAAAAATACAAAAATTATCCAGGGATGGTGATGCATGCCTATGGTCCCAGTTACTTAGAAAGCTGAGGTGGGAGGATCACCTGAGCCCAGAAGGTCAAGTCTGCAGTGAGCTAAGATCACGCCACTGCACTCCAGCCTGGGTGACAGTCTAAAAAAAATTTTTTTTTTTAATTACTCCACTTAGGCCGTGCACAGTTGTTCATGCCTGCACTTTGGGAGGCCGGGGCAGTTGGATCATTCAAGACCAGGAGTTAGAGATCAGCCTAGGCAACATGGTGAAACTCCATCTTGACCAAAAAAAAAAAAAAAAAAAAATATATATATATATATATACACACACACATACATACACACACACACACAAATTAGCCAGGTACAAGTGTGATCCCATCTACTCAGGAGGTTGATTCCAGCTACTTGGGAGGCTGAGGCATGAGAATGGCTTGAATGCGGGAGGTGGAGGTTGTAGTGAGCCGAAATTGCACCACTGCATTTCAATTATTAATAAAGATATTAATCAGTCAACAATGACATCTTGAAATTGAGAACTCTTCCTATTCACTCAGAAGTTATTTATTTTTATATATTTATTTTGAGACAGAGTCTGGCTCTGTCACCCAAGCTGGAGTGCAGTGGCACCATCCTGGCTCACTGCAATCTCTGCTTCCCAGGTTCAAGCAATTGTCCTGCCTCAGCCTCCTGAGTAGCCGGGATTACAGGTGTGCACTACCACACCAGGCTAATTTTTGTATTTTTAGTAGAGACAGGGTTTCACCATGTTCGCCAGGCTGATCTCAAACCCGTGACCTCAAGTGATCCACCCGTCTCAGCCTCCCAAAGTGCTGGGGATTACAGGCGTGGGCCACCACGCCCAGCAGAGCAGTTCTTTTCAATACAAAGGTTATGTAATTATGTTACCAAAGGTTAAAGATTTGATAGTGTGTTGACTTGAGCTTTTGTCATGCCAGCCCTTTTGTGGGCTAGCCTATTTTGTACTGGCGCTCTCGGCAGGTAGGAATTTAATATCATGTCTTTATCCAAAATTCTGGCTTGACTCTGCATTTTCAGACTCACCTGTTTGAATTTAGCAGCAATGTTTCTAGACACCTGCACTGATTAAACGATTCCAGCCATCGTCCCTTTGGTATCTCCTAGATCATACGAATGATAGCGAGTGATGAATCGTTTTACAGAAACCAGACGTTTCCCTGCCTTTTTCTAAGCTGGGCCATGGCTGTGAGAAATCGGCTCCCAAGAGGACGACATCATGGCCACAGTGATAAAGGGGTCAAGGCCTGGTTCCACGGCCAGCTTGCCATTTGTATGGCCTGTCTGAGCTCTCGGGATTATTCGGAGGAATAAGATTTGGGAACGGCCATTCCGCCCCCTCCTGGAGTCTTGCTTTCCGCTACCGAGACTGGTGGAGCGCGCCTGCAGTCTGAGAATTTGGGGAGGTGGAGGCGGGAGGATCGTTTCAGCCCAGGAGTTCGAAAACACCCTGGGCAACATAGCAAAACCCAGTCTTACAAATAAAAACATTTTAAAAGTTAATCGAGTGTGATGGCACGTGCCTGTAGTGCCAGCTACTCGGGAGGCTGAGGCAGGAGGATCGCTTGAGCCCAGAAGTTGGAGACTGCAGTGAGCCGAGATCGCGCCACTGCACTCCAGCCTGGGCGACAGAGTGAGATCCTGTCTCTAAAAGAAACAGAGGGAGATGGCCGGGCGCGGTGGCGCACGCCTGTAATCCCAGTACTTTGGGAGGCTGAGGCGGGCAGATCACCTGAGGTCGGGAGTTCGAGACCAACCTGACCAACATGGAGAAACCCCGTCTCTACTAAAAACACAAAATTAGCCAGGCGTGGTGGCGCATTGCCTGTAATCCCAGCTACTCGGGAGGCTGAGGCGGGAGAAAAGCTTGAACCCGGGAGGCGGAGGTTAATTGTGAGCCGAAATCGCGACACTGCAACTCCAGCCTGGGCGACAGAGTGAGACCCTGTCTCTAAAAGAAATAGAGAGAGACCAACCCCTACAGAACCGGGTCTGCAGCCCGGGCTTTGTGACTTCTCTCCGCCCCGCTCCCCGTTGCAGACGCGCCCACTTTCCGCCCGGCGCGCCGGAAGTGGCCCAGTCCCGTCGGCCCCTGCGGCCCGCTTGCCGTTGCCGTGGAAACGAAACCGGACAAGGCGCGCTCTGTCCTGGCGCGCCGGTTCCGGTGGGCTCGTGTCAGCTACGCCGCTGTGGATTACGATGCTTAAGGCTAAGATCCTCTTCGTGGGGCCTTGCGAGGTGAGGCCTGGTCCGGCGCGGAAGAGGGAGCGGGGAGCCGGCCTCGGGGCCTGGCATGTCCCCAACCACCTGGTCTGGGAGGCGGGACCCCGGGCCCACCAGGCCCATCCCGGCCAGTGCCCTCGGCCTTTCTGTGAACTCCGTGCTTTTAGACGTTGATTCCAGCCACTGCCGAGAGGGGGTAGTGGAAGTGAACCCGGTGTTACTGAGCCCCGAAGGCCCAAGGTACTAAGTGGCATCATTGGAACCACAGCCTAGGTGTCATGACTCTTTCCTTTGCTTCTGGGATCCCCCTAATGAATGCGTCTGTGGGTCTGGACTTCTGCTTGAGACAGGGTCTCGCTCTGTCGTCCACGCTGGAGTGCAGTGGTGTGATCATAGCTCACTGCAGCCTCGACTTCGCTGGGCTCAAGCAGTCCTCCTGAGTCCTCTGTCTCCCAGGATGGAGTGCAGTGGCATGATCTTGGTTCACTGCAACCTCCAACTCCCGGCTTCAAGCGATTCCTGTCCCAGCCTCCTTACTAGCTGTTACAGGTCCACACCTCCATCCCTGGCTAATTTTTGTATTTTTAGTAGAGATGGGTTTTCACCATGTTGGCCAGGCTGGGCTTGAACTCCTGACCTCAAGTGATCAGACCGCCTCACCCTCCCAAAGTGCTGGGGTTATGGCCATGAGCCACCGTGCCTGGCCTAATTTGTTAATTATTTATAGAGACAGGGTCTCACTATGTTGCCTAGTACCTAGGCTGGTCTCCAACTCCTGGCTCAAGCAGTCCTCCCGCCTCAGCCTCCCAATGTGCTGGGATTACAGGTGTGAGCCGTTGCTCGAGGCCTGGGGTTTTTACTATACGGTCCTGGATCTGTTGGCTATTCATGTGTGTGTCGGGGGAGTGCTAGTGAGGATCACATCTACATGTATACTTATCATCCACAGAAATAAAGCTCAGATGGACTGAAGCTAAATGCATTAAAAAAAAAAAAAAATGCCAGGCGCTGCGGCTCATGCCTGTAATCCCAGCACTTTGGAAGGCTGAGGCGGGCGGATCACCTGAGGTCAGGAGTTCGAGACCAGCCTGACTAACACGGTGAAACCCCATCTCTACTAAAAATACAAAAATTAGCCGGGCATGGTGGTGGGCGCCTGTAATCCCAGTTACTTGGGAGGGTGAGGCAGGAGAATCACTTGAATCCAGGAGGCAGAGGTTGCAGTGAGCCAAGATCGTGCCATTGTACTTCAGCCTGGGCAACAAGAACGAAACTCCATCTAAAAACACACACACACACACACACACACACACACACACACACACACACCCCTGTAGGGGTCTCAGGCCAGGACGAAACTCCATGTAAACAAACACACACACACACACACACCCCTGTAGGGGTCTCAGGCCAGGAACAGTGTCTAATGCCTACCAGCACCTCAGAAGGCCAAAGAGGGGCGATCACTTCAGCTCACGCATTCGAGACCAACCTGAGCAACATGGGGAAACCCCATCTCTACAAAAATACAAAACTTAGCTGGGTGTGGTGGCATACACCTGTAATCCTAGCTACTCAGGAGGCTGAGGTGGAAGGATCACTTGAGCCCTACAGATCAAGGCTGCAGTAAGCTATGAGCATGTCACTGCACACCAGCCTCAGCAACAGACCAAGACCCTGTCATAAAAAAAAAAAAAAAAAAAAGCAATATGTATTACTCATATAATGGAGATGGAGAAACAGCTCTGTGTGAGATTGTTAGCCAGCCACGAGTCCCCAGGCTGACTTTGATCCTCTCTGTGACCTAAAAGAACTTGGCCGGGCGCAGTGGCTCACGCCTGTAATCCTAGCACTTTGGGAGGCGGAAGCAGGTGAATCACTTGAGGTCAGGACTTTGAGATCAGCCTAACATAGTGAAACCCCATCTCTACTAAAAATACAAAAATTAGCCAGACGTGGTGGCACATGTCTATAGTCCTAGCTACTCAGGAGACTGAGTGAGGCAGGAGAATCGCTTGTACCCAGGAGGCAGAAGTTGTGGTGTGCTGAGATCACGCCATTGCACCCCAGCCTGGGCAACAAGAGCGAAACTCTGTCTCAAAAAAAAAAAAAAAAAAAAAAATTCCTTAATCCCATGCTCCCTGGGCCTCGGACCAGGCTGTGCCTACTGCACTAGAGCAGGACAGTGAGGTTATAACCACCCCAATGATCTCCGAGTGCCCGTGACCTATACTGCATCACACCGGGTTCCAGGACACCTCTTGGGGTGCTTTTTTTTGGTTTCCTTCTGCCTTTCAGCAAAGGCCTTTACTTGTTCTCATTTTCACAGAGCGGAAAAACTGTTTTGGCCAACTTTCTGACAGAATCTTCTGACATCACCGAATACAGCCCAACCCAAGGAGTGAGGTGAGCCCTGACAGATCAGAGTCCCAAAGACTCAAAGAGTGTCCGACTGGCTGGGCAGGAGGCTCACGCCTCTAATACCCGCGCTCTGGGAGGCCAAAGCAGGAGGATCACTTGAACCCTGGGCAATATAGGGAGACCCCCATCTCAACTAAAAATAAAATGTTAGCCAGGTATGTTGACATCTGTCTGTGGTCTCAGCTACATGGGAGGCTGAAGCAGGAGAATTGCTTGAGGCCAGGAGTTGGAGACTGCAGTGAGCTATGATTGTGCCACTGCACTCCAGCCTGGGTGACACAGTGAGACCCTGTCTCAAAAAAAAAAAAAAACAATTTAAAAAGACTGCCCAACCATCACCCATCACCCATCACCTACATCCTACTTTTGTTGCTGTTGCCATTCCAAAAGTGTTATGCTGCTTCATTACTAGTGCTGCTGCTGCTCTTCTTTTTTTTTTTTTTTAATTTTGAGACGGAGTCTCACTCTGTCGCCAGGCTGGAGTGCAGTGGCACAATCTCTGCTCACTGCAACCTCCGCCTCCTGGGTTCAAGCAATTCTCCTGCCTCAGCCTCCGGAGTAGCTGGGATTACAGGCATCCACCACCACGCCTGCCTAATTCTTGTATTTTTAGTAGAGATAGGGTTTCACCATGTTGGCCAAGCTGGTCTTGACCTCCTGACCTCAAGTGATCCTCCACCTGGGCCTCCCAGAGTGTTGAGATTACAGGCGTGAGCCACCCCACCCAGCCTACCGCTCTTCTTTTTCCTTTCAGGATCCTGGAATTCGAGAACCCACATGTTACCAGCAACAACAAAGGCACAGGCTGTGAATTCGAGCTGTGGGACTGTGGTGGAGATCCTAAGTATGTTTCCTTTAAATAAAGTCACTTCATCAAATGGTTTAAAATCAGCTTCCCAGGCCAGGCGTGGTGGCTCACACCTGTAATCCCAGCACTTTGGGAGGCCAAGGTGGGTGGATCACCTGAGGTCAAGAGTTCGAGACCATCCTGGCCAACATGGCGAAACCCTGCCTCTACTAAAAATACAAAATATTAGCCAGGCATGGTGGCAGATGCCTGTAATCCCAGCTACTCGGGAGGCTGAGGCAGGAGAATCGCTTGAACCCAGGAGGCGGAGATTGCAGTGAGCCAAGATCCTGCCATTTACACTCCAGCCTGGGCGTCAGAGTGAGACTCTGTCTCAAAAAAAATAAATAAATAAAATCAGCTGCCCACCAGGCACCATGGAGTTGGGCCGAGCATATTTCCTGGCACATAGGAAGAGCCTGATAAAGTATTTGCTGACCTTGGCTGGGTGGGGTAACTCACACCTGTAATCCCAGCACTTTGGGAGGCCGAGTCTGGCAGATCACATAAGGTTAGGAGTTCAAGACCAGCCTGGCCAACATGGTGAAACTTCATCTTTAAAAAAAAATAGGGGCCAGGCGCCGTGGCTCACATCTGTAATCCAGTACTTTGGCAGGACGAGGCAGGCAGATCATCTGAGCTCAGGAGTTTGAGACCAGCCTGGCCAACATAGTGAAACCCCGTCTCTACTGAACATACAAAAATTAGCCCAGTGTGGTGGTATGCACCTATAATCCCAGCTACTCAGGAGGCTGAGGCAGGAAAATCACTTGAACCCAGTAGGTGGAGGTTGTAGTGAGCTGAGATCTCCAGCCTGGGCAACAGAGCCAGACTCTGTCTCAGAAAAAAGTAATATTAATAATAATAATAATACAATGTTTTAAATGAAGAAATTGTCAACCTTTACACAAAATAAAATTGATGTGGTACACACCCGTAGTCCTAGCTACTCAGAAGACTGAGGCAGAAGGATCACTTGAGCCCACATTGGAGGCTGCAGTGAGCTGTGATCCCACAACTGCACTTTAGCCTGAGAAAGCAAGACCCTGTGTCTTAAAAAAAAAGGAATTCATCTACCAACTTTTATTACTAAGATATTCTTTTTAAAGTCCACAGTTAGAATCCAGAATAACCTAGGTCGGGCACAGTGGCTCATGCCTGTAATCCCAGCACTTTGGGAGGCCGAGGCAGGTGAATCACCTGAGTTTGGGAGTTTGAGACCAGACTGACCAACATGGAGAAACCCCATCTCCACTAAAAATACAGAATTAGCTGGGCGTGGTGGTGCATGCCTGTAATTCCAGCTACTTGGGAAGCTGAGGCAAGAGAACCACTTGAACCCTGGAGGTAGAGGTTGCGATAAACCGAGATCACGCCATTACACTCCAGCCTGGGCAATAAGAGCAAAACTCTGTCAAAAAAAGAAAGAAAGAAAGAAAACCAGAACAACCTAACATTCCCTCTTGTTCCTTTTCTTCCTTGCAGGTTCGAGTCCTGCTGGCCAGCCCTGATGAAGGATGCCCATGGAGTGGTGATCGTTTTCAATGCTGACATCCCAAGCCACCGGAAGGAAATGGAAATGTGGTATTCCTGTTTCGTCCAGCAGCAGTCCTTACAGGACACACAGTGCATGCTAATTGCGCACCACAAACCAGGCTCTGGAGATGACAAAGGAAGCCTGTCTTTGTGTAAGGAAACTGGAATTTCTCTTCCTCTTTTGTCTTGAGCATTTTGGATACCTACATATTGTCTCATGCCCTAGAAACCAGCAGCTCCGTCCAGTTACTGAGCACATACTGCACCCTCGGCAGTTGGTGCCCTCTCCATGTGAGTCAGAATTGCCAGGTTTGGCTGGGCATGGTGTCTCCTGCCTATAATCCCAGCACTTTGGGAGGCTGAGGCGGGTGGATCACCTGAGGTCAGGAGTTCAAGACCAGCCTGGCCAACGTGGTAAAACCCCGTCTCTACTAAAAATACAAAAATTAGCTGGGCATGATGGCAGGCACCTGTAGTCCCAGCTACTCAGGAGGCTCAGGCAGAATTGCTTGAATCTGGGAGGTGGAGGTTGCAGTGAGCTGAAATCTCACCACTGCACTTCAGCCTGGGTGACAGGGTAAGACACTATCTCAAAAAAATAAAAAGGCTGGGTGTGGTGGCTCACGCCTGTTATCCCAACACTTTGGGAGACAGATCACTTGAGGTCAGGAGTTCAAGACCAGCCTGGCCAACATGGTGAAACCTTGTCTGTACTAAAAGTACAAAAATTAGCCGGGCGTGGTGGTACATGCCTGTAATCCCAGCTACTTGGAAGGCTGAGGCAGAAGAATCACTTTTACCTGGGAGGTGGAGGTTGCACTGATCCAAGATCGTGCCATTGCACTCCAGCCTGGGCAACAAGAGTGAAACTCTGTCTCAAAAATAAAAACAAAGCAGTATACAGAGTGGGAAAATCCTGCGTGTAGCTATTCTTAGGTATGGCTGGTGGGGAGGCATTCTTTGCTGAAAGAACTTTTGTGGAGAAAAACCTCCAATTCACATATGACACACACATCCCAGAGGTCACACCGTAATCCTGAAAAACAACTGAAAATATTCAAAAACAAAATGAAAGAGAGAATCTATTCCTTTCTGGTTTAAGAACAGAGGAATGGCGGGGCGCGGTGGCTCACACTTGTAATCCCAACACTTTGCGATGTCAAGTTGGGCAGATCACAAGGTCAAGAGATTGAGACCATCCTGGCCAAATGGTGAAACCCTGTCTCTACTAAAAATACAAAAATTATCTGGGCATGACGTTGCATGCCTGTAATCACAGCTACTCAGGAGGCTGAGGCAGGAGAATCACTTCAACCCAGAAGGCCGAGGTTGCAGTAAGCCGAGATTGCACCACTGCACTCCAGCCTGGCGACAGAGCAAGACTCCATCTCAAAAAAAAAGAAAAAACAGAGGAACTGGAGGGTGGTTTCTAAAGTTTCCGTCCTGTCACCAGGTGGCAGTATAGCAAAACCTTTCTCTGTTCGCTGGCGTCAGGAAAGACAACTTGGTCTGTGAACTTCAGAAAGTTAAACAAATGTCTTCTAGAAATTTTATTGGGAGCTAGAAAGAGTCCCTCATTGAGACTCCTTGCCCAATTAACCTTATTTTCATTTTCAAGCGCCACCCTTGAACAAGCTGAAGCTGGTGCACTCGAACCTGGAGGATGACCCTGAGGAGATCCGGATGGAATTCATTAAGTATTTAAAAAGCATCATCAACTCCATGTCTGAGAGCAGAGACCGGGAGGAGATGTCAATCATGACCTAGCCAGCCTCCACCTGGGGCTGCCACAGCTCTAGTGAAATCAGCGTCTTTCTTGGTACAGATCTGAAATTGCATCCAGCTCCTGATGTTTTCTTCTCCCTGTGACTGCAGAGGAAGTGTTTCTACCTGCAGGAAGGCCCCAGTCATGCTCAGACTGCTCTGTCCTGAGTTCAGCTGAGAAAATCCTATCATCGAATTCTGATTTCCTGGCCCCAGAACTTCCCAAAGAGCTGTAAAGTGGAGAGATTTTCCACCTTCACAAGTGTCCGCTTACAGAGTTTGTGGAATTGTAGCTGTCGTAGCCCAAGGATACAACAGTAGTTCAATCCACGTGTATTGGCTTGAATGTGATTTTCATTTGATTCACCCAATAAATACCAACTGGTTGAGCACCTGCTGTGTGTGCACCGCTGTTCTAGCTGCTGACCGTAGACAGCATGCATGAAAAAGATGGAAATCCCCACCCTCGTGGAACTCTCATTCCATTTTCCTAAATATTAGATTGGTGCAAACTAATTGTGGTTTCTGCCATTTTTAATTTTTAACGGCAAAATCCCCAATTACTTTTGCGCCAACCTAATAGTAAGGCAGATTCAGAAACTTGAGTGCAATGTCTTGGATATGCAAAAAAGGAAATAAAAACGCATTCTTCATTTTCTTTAAGAGTTCTAGGCCAGGAGCAGTGGCTCACACTTGTAATCCTGCACTTCGGGACACCGAGGCAGGCGGATCACTTGAGGCCAGGTGTTTGAAACCAGCCTACCCAACATGGCAAATCCCCATCTCTACTACAAATACAAAAATTCACAGGGTGTGTTGGCCCACACCTGTAATATCAGCTACTCGGGTGGCAGAAGCACAAGAATTGCTTGAGCCCGGGAAGCAAGGGCTACGGTGGGCTGAGATTGTGCCACTGTACTCCAGCCTGGATGACAGACTGTCTCAAATTTTTAAAAAGAGATTTGGCCGGGCGCAGTGGCTCATGCCTGTAATCCCAGCACTTTGGGAGGCTGAGATGTGTGGATCGCCTGAGGTCAGGAGTTCAAGACCATCAAGAGATGGTGAAACCCATCTCTACTAACACTATGAAGTTTGCTGGGCGTGTTGGCACACACCCGTAATACCAGCTACTTGGGTGGCTGAAGTATGAGAATTGCGTGAGCTGGGGAGGCAGAGGTTGCAGTGAGTCAAGATTGTGCCACTGCACGTCAGCCTGGGCGACAGAGAGACTGTCAGAAAAAAAAAAAAAAAAGGCTGGGCACGGTGGCTCACACCTGTAACCCCAGCACTTTGGGAGGCCGAGGCAGGTGGATTACTTTAGGTCAGGAGTTGGAGATCAACCTGGCAAACGTGGTGAAACCCTGTCTCTACTAAAAGTACAAAAATCAGCCAGGCATGCTGGCAGGTGCCTATAATCCCAGCTACTCGGGAGGCTGAAGCAGGAGAATTACTTGAACCCAGGAGGTGGAGGTTGCAGTGGGCCAAGATTGCACCACTGCACTCCAGCCTGGGCGATAGAGCAAGACTCAGGTCTCAAAAAAAAAAAAAAGGAAGGAAAGTTAAAAAAAAAAAACATGATTGGGAAATCAAGAATGTGGCAGACGAAAATGTGGCTGGTGAATATTTTCAAAGTAGTTACAATAAAAAATGCATTGCTATTTTCATTATAAGCCTAAAAGGTTTACCTGGTCACTCGGGGGTTTTTCTTTTCTTTTAATTTTTAAATTTACATACCCAATTCCCGCAGAGGGGATTTTTTCAAATTTTAAAAGTTATCAGCCAGGCTTGATGGTTCACACCTGTAATCCCAGCACTTTGGGAGGCCAAGGCAGGCGGATCATGAGGTCAAGAGGTCGAGACCATCCTGACCAACATGGAGAAATCCCATTTTTGCTAATAAATAAATAAATAAATAAATAAAAGCTGTCCTGTTTTTAATGACCCTGTATTTGTTATTCTGTTATGTAATTATCTTTATATATAACAAAATTTGCCATCCTAACCATCTGTAAGCGCAGTTCAGTAGCATTAAATACACTCACATTCTTGTGCACCCATCACCACCATTCATCCCCAGAACTTTCTATGATCTCTGACTGACACTATACCCACCTAACAACTCCCCACTCCTCCTTCCCAGCCACTGACGGCCACCATTCTACTTTCTGTCTCTGTGACCTCCTCTAGGTCTCTTATTTATACAAGTGGAATCCTACAGTATTTTTGTCTTTTCGTGACTGGCTTATTTCCCGTAGCCTAATGATCTCAAGGCTCACCTGCCTTGTAGCGTATATCAGAATCTCCTTCACTTTTTTTAATTTTTATTTTTGAGAGACGGAGTTTCATTCTTATTGCCCAGGCTGGAGTGCAATGACGTGATCTCGGCTCACTGCAACCTCTGCCTCCTGGGTTCAAGCAATTCTCCTGCCTCAGCCTCCCAAGTCGCTGGCATGACAGGCATGTACCACCACGCCGAGCTAATTTTGTGCTTTTTGTAGAGATGCGGTTTCTCCACGTTGGTCAGGCCAGTCTTGAACTCCCAACCTCAGGTGATTCACCAGCCTCAACCTCCCAAAGTGCTGGGATTACAGGCATGAGCCACCACACCCGGCCAGCATCTCCTTCCGTTTTAAGGTAGTATAGTATTCTGTCCTACAGATAGGCCACACTTTTTTATCCATTCATTGGTTGATGGACATTTGGGTGTTTTTTCACCTTTTGGCTCTTGCAAATACACAGCTAGCAGCATGGGTGTACAGTTCACCCAGGATACTTTGGAAGATTATTAGCATTTAATCTCTCCAAGACATTATTTATTTAGATGACCGTGATATGGAGACTATATCCAGTTGGAAAGTGGAATACAAACACAACTTTTTTTTTTTAGACAGTGTTGCTCTGTCACCCAGGCTGGAATGCAGTGGCATGACCACAGCTCACTGTAGCCTCAGGCTCTTGGGCTCCAGTGATCTTGCCACCTCAGCCTCCAAGTCGTTGGGACTAGAGATGCATGCACCAGTAATGGTCCAGCCCACTAATCAGTGCACGCCTTGGCTAATTTTTGTATTTTTCGTAGAGATAGGGTTTCATCATGTTAACCAGGCTGATCTCAAACTCCTGACCTCAGGTGATCCACCCACCTCAACCTCCCAAAGTGCTGGGATTACAGGCCTGAGCCATTGTGCCCAGCCCATACACAGCTTCTAAAAAAGTTTTCGTAACACCAAATTGGTAAACATGTTCAAGAGATTTAATGCACAGAATCACTAGATATGGTGAGTTTATGGTTCATTGTAGAAGCAAGTTTGTTTTAATCATCTTAGGAGTTTTCTTCTTTTTTTTTTTTAAAGCGGGTTTTCATTTTTCTAAAAATTGCACCAATGTAAAGCAAAGCTGTGGTTGATGTGGGTGTGTTTAGGGTTAGCAGTACTTCCCTCACTATGCGCGCATTGGACAGTAGCACAGCCCCAAGGAAAGGATGGCTTTTTTTTTTTTTTTTTTTTTTTTGAGACGGAGTCTTCCTCTGTTGCCCAGGCCAGAGTACAGTGGCATAATCTCGGCTCACTGCAAAGTCTGCTCCCCGAGTTCAAGCGATCCTCCTGCTTCAGCCTCCCGAGTAGCTGGGATTACAAGTGCACGCCACCATGCCCAGCTAAATTTTGTATTTTTAGTAGACACGGGTTTCACCATCTTGGCCAGGCTGGTCTTGAACTCTTGACCTTGTGATTCACCCACCTCGGCCTCCCAAAGTGCTGGGATGACAGGCATGAGCCACCACACCTGGCCATGGAGTTACTTTTCATTCATAATTGTTATGTTTGTAATTTTTTAACATAACCAACAAGAAAATATGCTAAGTGGATGAAATGGTAGATGTATCTCTTTTCAGCTGAGAGTGGGAGAAAAAGTTGAGGCACCTAAAGGAGATGAATAAAAATGCTTCTTTTTTTTGAGACAGAGTTTCGCTCTTGTTGCCTAGGCTAGAGTGCAATGGAGCAATCTCGGCTCAACAACCTCTGCCTCCCGGGTTCAAGTGATTCTCCTGCATCACCCTCCCAAGTAGCTGGGATTATAGGCATGTGCCACCACTCCTGGCTAATTTTGTATTTTCAGTAGAGACGGGTTTTCTCCATGTTGGTCAGGCTTGTCTCGAACTCCTGACCTCAGGTGATCCACCTGCCTCAGCCTCCCCAGGTGCTGGGATTACAGGCGTGAGCCACTGCGCCTGGCCGTGTCTGTCACTTTCACAGTGAGGAAGGCTGACACATAGCTGTGTGGGCAATCTGTTGTAGAGAGTGGCTTTTCTAGACCATGCCAATTCCCTGGCAATTTATTTTGAACCACATTCACCTGTTAGGATTACCGTGAGTACTATTAATGTTAACTGAACTAAATCATCTTTCCATAACTGCTGCCTAACAAAAATCAATCTCACAAAATTGGCTACCTCAAAAAGAAATTATTTTCATTTTCACCTTTAATGATTATCCAAGACCCCAATGTAACAACCCAGCAGATTTTGTTCACATGAATGGCCAGAGTATAATGATTTAAATCTCTTTGAATTGAGAAAAAGGCTTCAGATTTTGTTTGAGAGTTGTTTTTTTTTCTACTTGATCTAGTCTATCATTGAAACTTTCAAGTGTAATTTGTATTTCATACATTGATTTCCTCAGTTCCATATTTGCTGTGTACTCTGGAAAACTCAGTATCTGGTTGGTAGCTATGTCAACCATATCCACAATTGCTGTTGACATTTTGTTCCTTTTTTTATTTTTAAAAATTTTTTAAAGACGGGGTTTCGCCATGTTGGTCAGGCTGGTCTTGAACTCCCGACCTCAGGTGATCTGCCCGCCTTGGCCTCCAAAGTGCTTGAATTACAGGTGTGAGCCACCGCGCCTGGCGACATTTTGTTCCTTTCTTTTTCAGAAGTCTCTTGTATCCTCCTAATCTTGGTTAAAATTAATATGCCCAATTCTCTGACAATTTTTCAGTTTCTTTTGGTTGGGCATCTGTTGCTGGAAAATTACTGGGTTCCTTTGGAGGCGTCCCATTTCCTTGCTTTTTCATGTCTCTCCTGTCCTTCTGTTGAGATCTGCCCCTCCTGTGTAAATTGCTTCTTCCAAGTTTGTGAAATCGCTTCCTAGGGGAGGACTTCTTCCTGAAAAGGTAGATATGGTGTTGGTTAGGTGGGGCACTTTGGATTTGATTTGGGGTAGTACCGTAGGCTCTGAATGATTTCTTGGGTGGCTTAGGGTGTGGTTATTAGTGGAGGCTGTGGTTGCTGGGGACTAGGAGGCTAAGGTGGGCCAGTCTTTGGGACCCAGTGGTGACCTGAGCTTGCCTCTTCTTGAACCCCAGAGCCGTGTAGGCTGGCTCTGGCGTTAATGGATTCAGGGGAACAATTCGGGGTCCTCTAGGTGCCCTGCTCGATCCTGGTAGTGGCAGCCCCAGCTGAGCTTGTGGTTGATCCCAGGCCCAGGAGCAGTTGGTGTGATGTGGGTGAGGGCAGTCGCAGTTGGGGGACAACCTTCTGGAACCCAGGCGGTCCCTGCTGGTGTTGGAGGTGGCTGCCACAGGCTGGGCGGGCAGGCGAGGCCCCTGGCCTGCAGGTGGCCTATGATGGTACCCCACAGGCTGGGACCTCGACCTCAGGCCCCGGGGAGGAGTGTTCAGGCGCCAACAGTGGCGGACAAGGCCGCGCACAGCGCCCAGGCCCCTGGCCCCATGCTCAAGACCTAGGGGGACAATCGGCACGCCAGGGGACTGTCCTGAGGCCCCCGGGGTTCGGGCGCTGGCTGTGATGGACACGGGAGGGCTGCTCCCAAGGCTTCGAGCGCAAAGCTCAGGCGGGACAGGGCGGGCGAGCCGTTGGCTAGCGTCTGGGTCCCGCGGCAGCTGCAGGGTTATTTGACTCCTGAAAGCGCCCGGCCTCCCCGCTCCCTCCCTGGCATTCAGCTGGCTTTACCCCAGGCCCGGCAGGAGCTGCCCTCCGGGCCGGACTCGGGACTCGGGCTGGCGGGGGCTGCAGCTGCAGCGGCTCAGGGCAGGGAAGCCCGTGGGCTCCACGTGGGCTCCACGTGGGCTCCCGCCACGCCGCTGGGGAATCTCTCGGCCGCTGCCCGCTAGTCCGGAGGCCCGCGAGGGTCAGGAGCTGTGAAGTCCGTGGGGGTACTGCGGAGCCCCGGGGTCTCTCACCCACCCTTTCCCCGCGCGGGAGCTGCAGATCCGATTTCTCCGCGCGGGCTGCGTGGCGGCCTCGGCTCCGCTGCTTGGGCTCCCCGGGGCTTCTCGGCTGAATGCCGCGTTCTCTCAGCCGATCCGCTGTAAGGGTGAGAACCTACCGGCTCCCTGGGTTCCCGTCGGAGGAGGCGGGAGCCGGCTGCATCTGCCCGGCCATGTGGAGCCGGTGGTCCTAGGTGGGAACTGGTCCCACCTGCGCGAGTTACTCAAGAGCGTTCCCTGGAGGCTCCGGGTCGGCCCCGCCCTCCCCTCCGGACTGGACCAAAGCTCCGTCTGCGCACAGGCGTGTTTGCTAACAGAAACGGGAGCAGACTATCAGCACTTTTCATGCTGGTCAATACTCGCCTGTAATTCCAGCGAGTTTCTTTGGGAAGCCGAGGCGGGCGGATTACCTGAGGTCAGGAGTTCGAGACCAGCCTGACCAACATCGAGAAACCCAGTCTCTACTAAAAACACAAAATTAGCCGGGCGTGGTGGCTCGTGCTTGTAAACCCAGATACTCGGAAGGCCGAGGTAGAAGAATTGCTTGAACCCGGAAGGCGGAGGTTGCGGGAAGCCGAGATCGCACCATTGCACTCCAGCCTGGGCAACAAGAGCAAAACTCCGTCTCGGGGAAAAAGAAAGGTAAGGATGGAATGAGATGACTGGTCACGGCGTTCTAGGTGTTGTCACTGCACACAACCATTTTGTATTCCATACTGAACAGACCAATGTGTGCCATGCCTGTGCTCGCATGCAGTTAAGGCTACTTTCTATCTGTGAGAGATATCACAAGAACACAGGAAAGTCGGAGAAGCTAAAACAGCCTAGTCACAGGGGAACTCAGTAGCTCAGCATGGCTCAGTGTGTGGAGCCAGTGTGTCTATGAATGCGATTGTGTGGTCCAGGCACAGTGGCTCACGCCGGTAATCCCAGCACTTTGGGAGACTGAGGCGGACGGTTGTTTGAGACTCTGACTCTACAAAAACATACATTTTTGTTTTTAATTATCCAGGCATGGTGGCACCCACCTGTTATCCCAGCTACTCTGGAGGCTCACATGGGACAGTTGCTTGAGCCCAGGATATAGAGGCTGTAGGGGACCCATGTTCTTGCCACTGCTGCCTAGCCTGGGCAATAGAACGAGAGGGAGGGAGGGGCTTGGTGGCTCACACTGGAAGGAAGGGAGGAAGGGAAGGAGGGAGAAGGGCTTGGTGGCTGACACCTGTAATCCCAGCACTTTGGTAGGCTGAGGTGGGCAGATCACCTGAGCTCAGGAGTTTGAGACTAGCCTGGCCAAAATGGTGAAACCCCATCTCTACTAAAAATACAAAAATTAGCTGGGCCTGGTGGTGCACGCTTCTAATCCCAGCTATTCAGGGGGCTGAGGCAGGAGAATTGCTTGAATCTGGGAGGCAGAGGTTACCGTGAACGGAGATCACACCACTGCACTCCAGCCTGGGCAACATAGTGACTCTGTCTCAAAAAAAAACAACGTGGTGTGTTAATATATGAGTAAACATGTGCTTGTGTGTTTGAGTCTGAGAGCGTGCTGTTGGGGTCTGTGACGGAGAGTGACTGTGTATGAGTGAGGAGCTAGTGTGAGGGGGGCAGTGGGAGAAGACGAGGGGTCCTTTCAGGCCAAACAGTTTGGCTTCATCTTAAGGCTTGACTGTACCACTGACAGATTTTCACTGCCGATTAACGTGACCAGAGCTACATTTGAGAAAAACCCTCCTGACAGCAACATGGGGGCTGGACTGGGAGGAGAAGAAGCCAGAGGAGATTAGGGGAGAAACTGCTGTGGTCCTGGTGAGGCCACGAGAGGAGAAAGGACCTTATGGGCCGAGAAGAAAATGGGAGGTCATAGATTCTCCTCTATGTCTAGCTTGATGCTGATGCAGTATTAGCTTCCTGTGGCTGCTGTTGCCAATTACCACAAATTGAGTGGCTTCAATTAGGAGAAATTGACTCTTTCGCAGTTCAGGAGGCCAGCAGTCTGGAATCAGTATCTCTGAGCCAAAGCCAAGCTGTCATCAGGGCCACATGGCCTCCGAGCTCCAAGGGAGAATCCGCGTCTGCCCTTTGGTGGCTGCTGTCATCACTCCAGCCTTCAAGGCCAGCATGGTCTCCACTCGGTCCCCACATTGCCTTCTCTATGTGTCTGTCTCATCACCTTCCCTCTTATACTGAAGCTTTTTTTTTTTTTTTTTTTTGCTCTGTTGCCCAGGCTGGAGAGCAGTGGCATGATCTTGGCTCACTGCAACCTTCACCTCCCAGGTTCAAGCGATTCTCTGCCTCAGCCTCCCAGGTAGCTGGGATTACAGGTGTGCACCACCATGTCCCATTAATTTTTGTATTTTTAGTACAGACAGAGTTTTGACATGTTTGCCAGGCTGGTCTCGAACTCCTGGCCTCAAGTGATCTGCCCACCTCGGACTCCCAAGGTGCTGGGATTACAGGCATGAGCCACCACGCCTGGCCTCTTATACTGACACTTCTAATTGCATCTTCTAGAGCCGACCTGGATACTCCAGGCTAATCTCCCCATCTAAAGAACCTTAATCACATCTGCAGAGATCCTTTTTCTGAATAAAGCCACATTTACAGGCTCCAGGGATCAGGACCTGATATCTTCGGGGGCCATTATTTAGCCTCCCACAGATGCACACACTGAGGCAGTAGGCAGGCCGGCAGGAGGGAGAGCAGGTTTGTCGAGAAGATGACAAATGACTAATCCAGGATGACCCTCCGAGTTAGAGAAAGGGACAGGCCTGAACCCCATGCCTCAGCTCTTTTCACTGTCTTACAGCAGCTGAGCCAATGATGCTTCCGTGAATAAACACGGCTTAGATTGTCAGCCTCTGAGACGGAAACTGACGAGACCACAACACAGCAACAGCAGGGCAAATAAAGGAAGTGGTATCCATTTCTCAAGTGGAGTCACTCAGAAGATGCTCTGCAAGTATGTTGCAAATAGAACTCGCCTCGGCCAGGTGCAGTGGCTCACGCCTGTAATCCCAGCACTTTGGGAGGCCGAGGCAGATGGATCACATGAGGTCAGGAGTTCGAGACCAGTCTGGGCAACATGGTGAAACCCGGTCTCTACTAATAATACAAAAATTAGCGTGGTGTGGTGGCACACACCTGTAGTCCCAACTACTGGGGAGGCTGAGAACGGAGACTCGCTTGAACCCGGGAGGCAGAGGTTGCAGTGAGCCAAGACTGTGCCACTGCACTCCAGCCTGGGCTCACCTAATTGTTGAGAACTACATGAATATCAGGCCATGGCTGGGCTTTCTCAATAAATGTACTCTTAGGCAGGAAATGAATGTTTATGTTTTAAAAAACAAAACCAAAGAAATTAAATGAGGGGAGGAGGAAACTCTTTTGAATGTTAAAAACAGATTACATAGTTTTGACATGACTTCTAAACTGCTTCCTCAGTTAAACAAATCTCTGTGTTTATGATAAGGGCCATTCTTCCTACCAAGTGAAAGCGGGTGTAAATGTTGTGTGTGCCAACTATTCTCACTTCAAAAGGAAAGTTCTGGTGCTTTGATAGGAGCAGCATTCCTATCTAGACTTTTTGATAGGCTTTAAAGCATGCATCTTGACCAGGCTCGGTGGCTCATGCCTGTAATCCCAGCACTTTGGGAGGCCAAGGTGGGTAGATCGCCTGAGGTCCGGAGTTTGAGACCAGCCTGGCCAACATGGTGAAACCCCGTCTCTACTAAAAATACGAAAATTAGCCAAGATCATGTCATTGTACTCCATCCTGGGCAACAAGAGGGAAACTCCATCTCAAAAAAAAAAAAAAAAAAGAAAGAAAGAAAAATTAGCTGGACGTGGTGGTGCATGTTTATAATCCTAGCTACTTGGGAGGCTGAGGCAGAAGAATTGCTTGTACCTGGGAGGCGGGGTTGCAGTGAGCCAAGATCACTCCACTGAACTCCAGCCTGGGCAACAGAGTGAGACTCCATCTCAATCAACCAACCAACCAACAGAAACACTCATAAAGCCAGGCTGTGTACTGATTGGTTGATGAAAATGCCGTGACAGGCTTGCAGGAACCTGCCCTTGTATTTCGCCTAGGAACAATGTTCAGCGTTTGCGAATCTGGCGTTCTTGGTGATGTTATGGAGCATTAGTTACTGTGAATACCAAGAATCAACATCTCCATTCAAATGTCAAGGCTTCCAAGTTAGTTCAGTCTCTGGGATGAATATTTAATGTTTATGGTTATAACCCACTTCCTCTACCTACTCCCCAAGGCGCTGTCAGGGAGCTGCATGCACAGGATTGGATTTGTGGAAAGGATTTGTGTCCTTTCCATTGACAGGCCCCCGGTTCTGCTGTGACCTCTGTAGAGGTCACTGGCTGCCATACCGGCCATCTCCTGGGAGGTCCAACACTGGTGAGGCTTTGTCCACACATCCCAACACCAGGAGTCCCCAGGCGGACTCTGCCCCATGCTTGCTGGGCTGAGGCCATTTGACAGCTCTGTCCTCCAACCAGTCCCAGGTTTGTCTCTGTGGCAGGATCCTTTTACCTTAGGCCAGTCCACTCTCAGTTCTCTGCTTCCTAAGAGGACGACATAATTTCCTGAAGAATCAAAAATATCAGGCCAGGCATGGTGGCTAATGTCTATAATCCCAACACTTTGGGAGGCTGAGGCAGGCAGATCACCTGAAGTCAGGAGTTCGAGACCAACCTGGCCAACATGTTGAAACCCCGTCTCTACTAATAATACAAAATTTAGCCCCATGTGGTGGTGGGCTCCTGTAACCCCAGCTACTGCAGGGGCTGAGGCACAAGAATCCCTTGAACCAGGGAGGCAGAGGTTGCAGTGAGCCAAGATTGCGCCACTGCACTCCAGCCTGGGTGACAACATGAGACTCTGTCACCAAAAAAAAAAAAGAGGCCAGGAGTAGTGGCTCATGCCTGTAATCCCAGCACTTTGGGAGGCTGAGGCAGGTGGATCACGAGATCAGGAGTTTGAGTCCAGCCTGACCAACATGGTGAAACCCCATCTCTACTAAAAATTCAAAAATTAGCCAGGTGTTGTGTCCCACACCTATAATCCCATCTACTCAGGAGGCTGAGGCAGGAGAATCACTTGAACCTGGGAGGCGGACGTTGCAGTAAGCTGAGATCGTGCCTCTGCACTCCAGCCTGGATGACAGAATTTGA